ATATAATAAATAAAATACAGTAAATTCTGATTTCCGCTATAGTGTAAATTAGAATAATCTGTATGATTTTTATTTCTAGCGGAGTTCGCAATTCCCCTATAGTCGAAATTAGAATCTCAATTTCGACTGGTTGAAATTAGAATAGTCACTTTATTCTAATTTGCACTAGTGGAATTCCGAATTCCTCTGAATTCCAATTTCCACTGCCGCATACTAGCGGCGGCGCCAGGAATTTAGACTAGGGTGGGCTCAGGCCTCCTAAATTTTGACCAGGGTGGGCTCGACCCAAGGGGGAAACAGCTGATTTCTGAGCTTAAAAAATCGGTTTTAATAGAAAATCGTCAAAAATCGTCAAAAATCGTTAAAAATCACTAAAAATCACTAAAAATCGTTAAAAATCACTAAAAATCGGTAAAAATCACTAAAAATTGTTAAAAATCACTAAAAATCACTAAAAATCGGTAAAAATCACTAAAAATCGGTAAAAATCACTAAAAATTGTTAAAAATCACTAAAAATCGGTAAAAATCTTGAAATCGCTTGATTACAAACATAGATAGCCTCGACTATAGAAAAATAACTGTTACAAAGTTTTATCTTCTACCTCTTTTTGCAGGTGGAACTGTTGCTGTATGGAGTCGAAGAGGAAGAAGGAGAAATAGAACAAAAAAATGTATATGCGAAGAAGACAAAATAAGGAAGAGAAAAGAAACATGTCACGTGATATAACGATGAACGTTTGACAGCAACAAACTTGTTATGCGTCATATATGAACGATCGAAACGTCGAAAGATGGGAAAGAAACGAAAGCGCGATTTCGGTCTGCTCTAGTGTAAGTGATGGAACTTTTTGTCGAAAACAACAAAGAAAAAGAGAAAATTTTCAATGTTTTGACATACATTTGAAATAATATGTGTCTCAAATGAGTTTGTTTTTGAAGATCAATTTATCAATTAATGATTGGATCAGATGTCAGTGTTGTCCACAATTAGAGTTTTAATTTCTCTCCACATGACATATGTAAAATGAGTGTGTCACGTTCTTTCTAGTTCACACAGTGTTGTGTGCATATACATATCGAAATTAGATGAACGGCAATCTTCGCTTCGTTCAACCATCTCCAGAAAATTATTTACACTATTTATCGCAGTCACTTTGCTTGATTTCCCAAACAAATCAAAGGAAATCGGTAAAAATCAATGAAAATCAGCGAAAATCGACGAAAATCAATGAAAATCGATGAAAATCAGTGAAAATCGACGAAAATCAGTGAAAATCGGAAGAATCCCAAAATCAGCTGTTTCCCCCTTGTATCGCAGTCACTTTGCTTGATTTCCCAAACAAATCAAAGGAAATCGGTAAAAATCGATGAAAATCAGTGAAAATCGACGAAAATCAATGAAAATCAGTCAAAATCAGTGAAAATCGGAAGAATCCCAAAATCAGCTGTTTCCCCCTTGGCTCGACCTCACTGAATTTTGTAAAAAAGTTTTCTGGATGGGCTCAAAATATTTTAGGGTGGGCTGAGCCCACCCTAGCCCACCTTTGGCGCCGCCACTACCGCATACATATAGTTTTTTGTGTTGGGAAGCATGATTACATGTTCTCGAAAAGTCTGAGTAGTAATGAATCGGAATTTAAAGAAAATTAACTAATGAATCATTAGCTATCGTGATTGACGCCATTTCTACGTGTACCCGCCAGTTTATTCAAAAGCGCTTTTTTTGACTTTTTTGGGCTTATTCTACGCGCTGGAGCGTGCTGACTTCAATCTTAGTATTTGCAGTTAAAAAAATAGTCTAATTTCACTAAATTTTGCTATATCCGATACGGTAGGTGTTAAGGCGTCTAACCATTGGCGCCGCATTAAGCGCCAACGAGAGTGATACTATGGACCATAAGAATGAATTATACTAAAAGAGTCGAAAAATTTCAAAACAAAAAACGTATCCGCCAAACTTTCGCGAACGCTTTTTCATATTATTTGTAGTTTAAAACTAAATATAACATCTTATAAAACGGTGCGTTTCAAGCGTGACTTTTTTCATATGTTTAAGAGTAACTTTATGAGAGCATCGAAAATCCGAGGACTACGTCAGAAGTTATTTCCATCAGAAATATATCTTGTTTGGAAACTTAAAAGAACTATATTGCAATATTTGTATCTTGAAGGTAAGTTGTGCATCAAATTTTATCATGCGAATTTACTGATATTAGTTTATATTTTAGATAACGATGATAATAATCGTATATGTACAGTACAAAACTATTTTCGATATACGATAAGGTAAACATCCACACATTGCAAGCTAGTTTATTTGTTTAGAGCAGTACATGTTAGACCTTTTTATTATACTTGTAGACAAATGTCGGCTATGTTAGTACCACAGACGTTATTCAAGAGTTAATGCTATTGAAAAATGAGAATTTAGAAGAGGATTTAATGTTTTTATTTGATGCTGCAGGTAAACTCATTGATATAGTTTAAGCGTAAAAAGAGAAATCAGAGTTATATATGGTTGTTTTTCAATTATGTTATAAAGTGTAATGCAAATATAGATTGATGAGTTTATTCTTTGCAAAATGCCCGAAAGCCACGTAATAAAACAAATAAAGAGCATTGGAAATTGAATGGCATACAAATTGAAGGAAGCGAAAAGCATCTGAGATGTTTATTCTTTCGCTTTTTGAAAAAGGGTAGCTATGACAGACGTTAAAGAAATCATATTTCTTTAACGTTAGAGTGTCGTTACAATGTATGTAAGAGTAGTTCATATTAACGCATGATGGATACACACTTGAGTGACTGCATGGCACGTTTAATGATTGCAGTCGGCATATAAAGAACATATTTCTTGTATTGAGGAGTTCCGACTTTCTACTCGTGACATATTTCGCTCGTCTGTTCTTGTAGTATTGATTTATGAGTTTTATTCAACAGTCTCCGCGGTAATGTGTAATTATAAGTTTTAGATCGTGAAACCGAAATATTTCAAATATGTTAGCTGCCGAATTTTCAAACTCCGATTATTCCCGTCGTTTATTGACCGCAATCGACGCGATGCGACAAATATTACATACAGAGAAAATTAAACTTCCAGAAATAGTTGTTGTTGGCGATCAGTCTGTGGTAAGTCTTCATTGTGGTCTTTTCGATTTACATGTAAAAGACGACATACTCTATTGATTGTTGTAGGGAAAATCATCAGTTTTGGAAGCACTATCTGGTATCCAATTACCTCGTGCCAGTAATATTTGTACTCGTTGTCCACTGGAATTGCGTTTAAAACGATTACAAGATACGAGTAAAGAAGAATTTGCAACAATTGAATGCTTTGGTAACAACGAAACAAAAACAATAACAAATTTTGATGATATTCAAGAAGAAGTGATAGAAATGACAAAAACACTAGCTGGTGATGGCTGCGACGTTAGTTCAAAACCAATCTATTTGACTGTTCACAAACATAAGATCCCAGATTTGACATT